CTTATAGTCACTTTCCTAATTGGAAACACACACACGCACATGATGCTGTGGCAACTGTGGTAAAGGTAGCAATTTCTACATAATATTTATGTTATAACTTTATTATTATATATTATGTTTGCATTTATATTATTGTGAATGAGCTGTTTGATGTCATCAAACAGTGTTTAAATTGAAGGATACTGATATAGTAAGTCCAAGCGAAGCACATCCGTTAAAGTTGTAATATTAGCAGAGTTTTGTAAAACGATATTTGTTTATTCAACTTTATTCACAAGGGTAAAATGTATGACAAACAGCGATTTTAATCACTCTTCTAATACTCTGGTAAATGTTACAATCACTTTATATGTTTATGTTATACATTTCAATATCAAATAATATCTGCATTGAATGCTAACATAGAAGAGTTCGAGATAACATTCGCACGGCCGCAGAATAACGAGCTACATTGCGTAGACGATCTTAGCCAAAAGGAAAAAAACAGCGGATTCTTGTTTTGTTTTAAGCTGCTTATATACTTCGAAATAAAATTAAAAAAAAAACCAATTAAATGTTACAGACATCACAAAAAATCAGGAAAGAATAATTCGTTGTCCACATATCCAAATAGGAAAGTTTTACTGCAGTAATCAAAACAATAAGAAGCTAATTTTATTGTCCATATAACTAAAACAATCCATCTTCATTGACAATACATAGCATCATCGCTATCAAACTTTTTTTTTTAAATTTTTGTTATGTTTCTTTTAATTAATTTATTTATCTATTTTATATAAGATAATCTTGTGTTTTCTAAATTTTGATTATATGTATTAATTCTTTTAAAAGTGTCTCATATTAAAAGCTTTGTTTTATTTGAGCTTCCTTTTTCAATGTTCTTGAATGTACATTTTGTTTATTTTATTATGGAATAAAGTTTACCTTACTACTATAAAAAAAAATGTCTCCCACTATTGATTTATTTAAGTTAAAACTGAAATCCCATCTCTTTAACTTTATTTAGACCATCACCCATTCGCATTGTCAATTTTTGAACTCTTTCTCTAGTTGTACTCTCTGTGCTTTTGATAACTTATTTGAAGTTAGCACATTATAAATATTCGATTATTATTATTATTATTATTATGTCACATGTTTTTGTCAAATAAATATAATTTGATCATATTGGACAGGGCTTAAATCAATGTATTTATTTAAATTCAGAGCTTACGTTTCTTGTAGATGATCAGTGCAATAGTAAATAAGTATAAATAAGTAAAAATGTGTGGAGGTCAAATTATTGTTTGTAAAACAAAAAGGGAGAAATACACATTTTTCTTTTCTTTTTTTACTGTACTGTAATGTTTTATTACAATATTCTATTGTTTTATTCTAGCATTTAAAGCACATTACGGGAAGTGATTACATAATTAAGTAATTAGTCAGTTCGAAAAATCAGTGTATAATATAATAAATGATTCAGATAATGAGAGAACCATGCAAAGCACAAGCTACTGTCATATTAGCAGAGTTTATTATAAACATATTTATATTTATTCAACTTTCTTCACAAGGGGCTGAAATATTCCCAAACAGAGTTTCAGTATTGGCAAGCACACATACAAAAAATATGACAATTTATGGGTTTCAAAGTCTTATTTAATCGATTTTGGTGTATAAAATACACATACATTTTTTTTCTCCCCGATGATTTGTCGTTTTTCTCCCCGACTATATTACCCTTAACATAGCCGTCATCGATTGGCAAATTGAAGGTGCTATTTAAAACAAAGCATGTTAAAGCTATTGAGCAATCACACAATATTAAATATGATACCATTACTTCCCATTAACGGGAAACATAAACGAAATAATACAAAACAAAACACGGTCAAAGAAAGTGTAAGAGTGTTTTAACCACAAATTGTGAAGCATTTATAGATTGTATTATAGAAACTGTGAAAATATTCTGAATATAACTAAAAATCCATATAGAAAATCCATATACCGTAGCTATTTTTATTATAACTCTATGAGAAAATCACACTTTGTGTTTCAATGCCATGGATTCTATGTGTCATACCGAAATAGAAGGTCAAAAATCATGCGGCGTTAATTTTAATAAAATGTTTTATTAATTACATACCTTTCATGTACAGCATCACATTACTAGTTCTATGATCTTAGATACGATTTGTGTGACTATAACTTATAAAACCCCTCAAGATATCTGTTTGAAACTCTGTAATTCATCCCATAAATTTCAATTAAAACATTTATAAAGCTTTGTCAATATGTATTAGTAATATAACCTTACTTCACTCGAGTATGAACATAAATTTCAATGAAATGTATGTCTGCTTAATACACCCATCGATTGAGCAAGCTTTGGCCACCGCCCATTATATGAATAAACTAAACTATGGAATAGAAAAACATCCCTGCGAGCGGTCTTTATAGAAAATATAAAATAGCTAAATAACTTTGCGGCGTGTTTAACAGCGGCGAATACAAAAAATAACAGCTTCCTTCCATCGATGCTCCGACAAAGTGCAATAATACGTACACAGAATTTAAAGTACATCCACGGTTTAAGCATTTAACACCCCCACCCACCTCCACCGTTGAAAACTATAAGGT